ATTCCTAAAATGTCCTCTTTTGGTTCTGAAAGTGCTGCAGTTCAGTGTTCTTAATATGACTTTAGGGGGACATTCCATTTTGGTTATTCTATGGTCACATAGCAACGTTACAAAAAGGACATTTGGGACATTAAAAGTTTCCATATGGTCCCCTGTAAGTCAGATAGGGACGTTTCATTCGGGACTCACTGCAACATATATTCCTGAACCATTTGGAAACATTGGTTAAGAAACACTAATTTCACTTATAGGTGAAATGCAAAGTTCTCATGAAAATAATAAGAAAATAAATTACAATAAAATTGTAAATCCTTACTATCTCTCATTTCCCTATATTTGTGGACCATTTGATACCTGGCGTTTCAAACCAATCACAAAGCTCCTGGGCGGCATATGCCCCAATAGCGGAAGCAGAGGGGAGGGGAGGGGCATCCACCTATCCCAACCTCCGTTGATCCAGACCGAGACTTTTTTTTTCTTCACCAGCAGAGAGTCAGCAAGCAGCAGCAGCTTCTATGGTTCTACAAGTAGCATTATGTCTGTTAATTTAATTATCTGTCATGTAAAGTTATTTTAATAATAGTTTTCTGATAAAGAAGCAAACGTGGTACAAAGATAAATGTACCATTACTACTTATCTGAACAAAGCTAATGCTGTGAACATACTTTGCAAAACCAAATTAAGTATTAAAATTTAGCAACATGATCTCTTGAGAATTCGTATCTATTTCATTTAAAATGGGGTTCTACAAAATGTACATTTACTTATGTTTGCATAGACACTGAAACATGATGTATTTACATAATCTAAACAATACTTACATACTGACAAAACCTAAAACGTACATTAATGTATAAACCACTTCACAGACTTACAAATCCTTATGAATATTGCAATCTCAGCATTAACAATTTTATTATTTTGCATTTGATGTCATAGCATTTTGCATTTAATGTTTGCAAGTGCATTTATTAAATAAAGTTTACTCATTTACTTAATATTAAATGATAACATTTCATTCTGTTCTGTGTGATTTCTGCTGCCAACTCGTTTTGAATAATACACAGTGTTCAACAAGACTACAAACACTTAAAATTAATAACATTTCTGCCATTGTTTAACCATTTTTTTATTATGTAATATTTATTTTGTTTGCCGTGGAACATAAAAGCCGTTTACTTCAACATGCTGTGACTGATAATAGAACCTTAAAACCCACTAAAAAAAACAACATATTTATCAAAGGAATCAATTTCATTTGTGAGGTGTAATCCAAATCTTCAGAATCCATATGACTGCGAGAAACAGACCCAAATTCAACCCTTTATTCAGCTATCTTCATCTCCATCCTCAGCAGCGACCGCATAAGCATCAAAGCCTGTGCCAGGGGTGTAGCGTCTGGGTATGTAGGTGCAAATGGGCCCGGGAAGATTGGGGGCCCGCCAAGCCAAAGGGGAAATTTTAATTGAAAAAAGGGAACAAATATAGAGCCCTGCACTTGCTCGGCCCTTGTCTGACAGCTTATCAGAATTCTCCGACCGAGTCTGACCTGAGCCCGCGTGTCTTTTCTCTCTCTCTCTCTTCCCCTTTACACAGCTGCTGTTGCAGCAATAAAAATAGTTCAGTTTTGGTTTTTAATGGCAAAGTGGTTATATTTCGTTTCGTTTCTTTATTAAGTTCATTTAGAAACATGACTGGAACACTTTGTTAAATTCAAGTTTTTGTTTTTTAAAATACCAAGCGGCCAGCGCCAGACAGTGAGTGAGCTGAGCATATGTTTGATCAGTTTAGCCTTCTCAAATAAACACGATTTGAGACATAAAAAACCATGCATTTCACAATATAAATTTAAATATTTAAGATAAATATGTGACAAATATTGTTTGTGCGAAGAGTGGAAGATGAAGCGCACTTTGCAGGACATGGAGGCGCCAGCGCGATCACTTGCATTTTTTTCTTAAGAGTGGAAACTTAAAATACACCATAATTTTTCCTCATAAAGGTAAGAGTATACATCATTCTTAACTGCAAAGTGTCTACTTTTATTTGTGTTCACTCACAATATTAACAAAACGTTGTGCTTTTGTAAAATAAATAAAACAAACAGGGTGGCTTTCTGCAGTCACAGTCTTGTGCAGAAACGCTTCACAAAAACTGAAACGAAACTCAGCAAATACTTGCCTCACTGACATGATAAATATATTTCTGTCATGACAACTCTCAGAGGGATTGGCATGGTAATGTACATGACAAACTTAATGTATTTGGTCTTTGCAGAATAGATCTACTACGCAGCTGCTGCGGCAGAGCAAGTTTGAAGCAAATCGAGTGAAAATAAGATGCTGAATTCAAAGCGTTTTAAAAAGTAACACACTTCCTGCTGCCAGTTGGTGGCGCTAAGGCATAAAATTTTGTAAATTCATGAAACTAACCATATTTTCTCAGAATGACTTGTTCTCTGTATGTAAAAATTTTTGAAGTGTTTGGAAGCTGCACTTTAAAGATTTAAGAAAATTACTGCTATCTTTTTTTACTGTTACTTTAATAAATCGCCATTGCAACACCGTTCAAGATATCCTATATCTGTTCGCAATTTAGTATCTTCAGTATATTGGCATCATGTAGACAAAGTTTGATGTGAATTGCTTGTTTCTCCTGGATGGAGTATCTAAAATTACACTGCCTGATTTTTCCAAAAATCCACATTCAAAGCAAAATAGCTGACTTCCTGTTAGTCGTAGCTGATGACTGTAAATTAGAAAGTTGTCCGTCTTAATGAGAACAATGTATGTACCAAATGTATGTATCAACTTTTGTCAAAACGTGGCGCTATAGAGTGCCTCCTCCACACCCTTTTATGAGCTTTTGCCAGTGTCTGTCTGTCATTAATACTGATTTGTGTGTTGAGTTTCATGAAATTCTATGCATTTTAGATATTAATATTCCCTTAACAGTTTTACATTGGCTGTGTTTTGACATTATTCTGATGAAGTCTGAAGCAAATCGAGTAAAAATAAGATGCTGAATTCAAAGTATTTTGAAAATGACACACTTCCTGCTGCCAGTTGGTGGCACTATAACTTTGACTCCCAATAGTCACATCTATGCGATTGGCATCATACAACGAACAAACACCTGAAGTTTGATCAAAATCAGACAATGTATGTGGATGTTATTAGACACTTCCTGTTTCTCATTTCTCGCCATAACTTCATCGCCTCGCCACGGGCAAACCTTTCGAGATGTCAAAAATCCCTTCGCAATTTAGCATCCCCAATGTCTTGAGAGCATGTTCACTGAGTTTGGTGGGAATTGGTTGGAAATCCTCAGAGGAGTATATCAAATTCCAGAGCATGCGCTTTTTAAACAGCCCTGAATAGCCAACTTCCTGTTGGACGGAGCCTATGACATGCAGTGTGAAAGTTGTTCAGCTCAATGAGATCTATATGTGTACTGAGTTTCATATGAATACGTGCAAGTATGTGTGAGATATACATCAAGTTTTCAGACTGTGTCCCAGGGGGCACTGTAGAGTCCCTTTGCCACGCCTGGGTCCCAGCCTCTGCGGCATCCTAATGGCCACAGATTCCAACGTGTGTGCCAATTTTTAAGAGTTTTTGAGCGTGTTAAGGCCCCCTTTACATTTTTTTAAGAAAAATAAAAAAATATATAGCTGCAAGCAGCGATGGTGGGCCCAAGCCATCAGTGCAAACGCCACCCCGGTGCCATCAGGAAAACTGTGCCCAGCGGGCACATGCATTTACAGTAACCCTCTGACAGTTTGGTTTTCAGGGATACGGCAATTAAAGGGTTAATCCAAACCATCAAGACTGTGAAACACACATACACAGAACAATAAATAAAACGTTAGTAACACTTCACAATAAGGTTTCAGTTATTAACATTAACTATATTAATTAACATGAACAATAATTATATAGCATGTATTAATGTTCAAAACAAACATTCAAAAAAAAATTATCTGTTAACATTAGTTAATGCACTTTGAACTAACATCAACAAATATTAATAAATTCTGTGAAAATATATTGTTAATTGTTAGTTTATGTTAGTTAATGAATTTACTAATGTTAACAAATGAGACCTTATTATAAAGTCTTACCAAAACCTTTAATGATTTACACCATGTGCATAATTATTAGGCAAGTTGATATTCTGATGATATTTTTTCCAAGCACATTTTACCAATTCCAAACCACATCAATCTTAATAACTACTATTAATTTTGTATTTAATAATTTATGAGTGATATATAATTGTCCATGAAGGCTGGAAGAGAAAAACTCCTTATGTTCAGGTGTGCAGAATTATTAGGCGATTTTCTTTTACAGATGAAATGAACCAAAAATGAGGTTTAACTCAGACTGAAAAGTCAAAAATTGTTAAATCCCCATGAGAAATATTAAAAACTAATGCAATACAGAAACTGCAAAGTTAAGACATGACCACTGGACAAAAAAATGCTCACTGGGACAGCAGGGTCAGAAAAAAACAGGTGGAGAAGAAAAGACACACGTTAACTGCAAAAGAATTAAGAATTAATGTGAAGATTCATTTTTAGTCAATTCTGCAAGACAGCCTTTTCAGGATAGGAAATGGAATAAAAATGAGCTCATAAAACTTACTGCCAAATTCTGGAAGATAAATTCTTCAAACAGTGGTACAAGAAGATGTGGTGCTGGTCCTTCAAAAGTCACTCAAAACTTATCTGTCCATAAAGCCTATAAAAAATTTGTCTTAATATACAGTATTTCACAATACTTCAGCATGTTATTCTAATTAAGTGAGGGTAATTTTTAGGATTTTTTACCCAAGCAAAGTCTCTCAGAACCTAACACCTTGTAATTCTGGAGACTCCAGGAAAGTGGCAGTTCTGGAAATTTGTGGTGCTGGAGACTAAATGCTTCCTGATGGTTTCACACCTAATTCTTCATATTAATTATTCATTCTTTTGCAATTAACGTTTGTCTTTTCTGAGTTCTGCTTTTTTCTGACCCCGCTGACCCAGTAAGCATTTTGCTGTCCAATGGTCATGTCTTAATTTTGAAATTTCTGTATTGCCTTAGTTTTGAATATTTCTCATGGGGATTTAATAATTTTTGACTTTTCAGTCTGAGTTAAACCTCTTTTTTGGCTCATTTTATCAGTAAAAGAAAACATGCCTAATAATTCTGCACACCTGAATTTAAGGAGTTTTTCACTTCCAGCCGTCAAGCACAATTATATATCACTCAAAAATTATTAAATACAAAATGAATAGTAGTTATTAAAATTGATGTGGTTTAGAATTGGTCAAATGTGCTTGGAAAAAAAACACCATCAGAATATCAACGTGCCTAATAATTATGCACTTGGTGTATACGCATTTTTAACGATTTTATTGATCTATAAGCTTTTGTGAAATATTTTTGCCTGCATTGCAGATTAGTCCATCTGTGAGCTGAACTGGTTTACTGTTACATCAATGAGATGATGTCAATTCAGATGAATGTCATATCACAAGATGTTATAGGTCTTGATTAGTTTCAAATTAGTTTCAAATATTATTTGCAGCACAAAAAAATTATAATCCCATGTGTTTGTATCTTGTATCTTTTATACTTTTTATGTTGTAATTAACATAATTATTAACCTAATTATATAAAATTATTTTGTCAGTGCCCTACAAATTAACTGGTTATAGGATTTTTTTGGCCCTAAAACTGACAGAAAAGGATAAGGCCGAAGAGATTTCTTAAGCTGTAATGACAAAAAAAAAAAACACACAAACAACAACAAAAAAATACTGATTATTTTTTCTGGTGATTAAAGAGATCTCTCTCTTAGAAAAGTCTCTCTCTCTCTCTCTCTCTCTCTCTCTCTTTCACCCACCCCCTCACTCACCCCTGGAAATTTGTGGTGCTGGAGACTAAATGCTTCCTGATGGTTTCACACCTAATTCTTCATATTAATTATTCATTCTTTTGCAATTAACGTTTGTCTTTTCTGAGTTCTGCTTTTTTCTGACCCCGCTGACCCAGTAAGCATTTTGCTGTCCAATGGTCATGTCTTAATTTTGAAATTTCTGTATTGCCTTAGTTTTGAATATTTCTCATGGGGATTTAATAATTTTTGACTTTTCAGTCTGAGTTAAACCTCTTTTTTGGCTCATTTTATCAGTAAAAGAAAACATGCCTAATAATTCTGCACACCTGAATTTAAGGAGTTTTTCACTTCCAGCCGTCAAGCACAATTATATATCACTCAAAAATTATTAAATACAAAATGAATAGTAGTTATTAAAATTGATGTGGTTTAGAATTGGTCAAATGTGCTTGGAAAAAAAACACCATCAGAATATCAACGTGCCTAATAATTATGCACTTGGTGTATACGCATTTTTAACGATTTTATTGATCTATAAGCTTTTGTGAAATATTTTTGCCTGCATTGCAGATTAGTCCATCTGTGAGCTGAACTGGTTTACTGTTACATCAATGAGATGATGTCAATTCAGATGAATGTCATATCACAAGATGTTATAGGTCTTGATTAGTTTCAAATTAGTTTCAAATATTATTTGCAGCACAAAAAAATTATAATCCCATGTGTTTGTATCTTGTATCTTTTATACTTTTTATGTTGTAATTAACATAATTATTAACCTAATTATATAAAATTATTTTGTCAGTGCCCTACAAATTAACTGGTTATAGGATTTTTTTGGCCCTAAAACTGACAGAAAAGGATAAGGCCGAAGAGATTTCTTAAGCTGTAATGACAAAAAAAAAAAACACACAAACAACAACAAAAAAATACTGATTATTTTTTCTGGTGATTAAAGAGATCTCTCTCTTAGAAAAGTCTCTCTCTCTCTCTCTCTCTCTCTCTCTCTTTCACCCACCCCCTCACTCAATTAACATGAACGTGACCATTTTTATTTATTAACATTAAAAAGATTAGTAAATGCTGTAAAAATATATTGTTCAATGTTAGTTCATGTTAGTTAATGCATTACCTAATGTTAACCTAAGAGACCTTATTGTAAATTGTTATCAACATGTTTTCTGATCTATAACCATTTTTAAAAATTATTTTAATAACCTATAAGCATTTGTGAGATAATTATATAAAATATTTTACCAGTAAAGTACACATTAACTTATTTTTATGTCAAGTCAAGTCACCTTTATTTATATAGCGCTTTTAACAATACAGATTGTGTCAAAGCAACTGTACAGCA